TTTTTGGCTCATTTTTGACGAAATAGAATAATTATAAGATCCCAAAAAATCACGTCGATCGTTATCAAAAACGTGAAGATTGGTTGATTGGTTCGTGAGTTATCGTTGTCGATAAAATTCGGAAAAAGTGAATTTTTCAAATTTCTCTAAGATTTTCGGTTCGATCAGTTTGTGTTCAAAAGTTTATCATAGATTCTGAAAAAGTGCGTGGATTGCTGACAACCGCGTGAAAATCGATTCATTCATTTAGAAATGATTGCAGTTTGAAAATTCAAAAAATACTGTTGTATTAAACTACTATCAGGCTTTTGAGCTCGAAGAGCTCTAAAGCATACAAGAGGTAATTATTTGAGCTCGGAGAGCTCAAAATAACACACAAATTGTATTTTTGAGCTCGAAGAGCTCAGAAACGTCATAAGTGCAATTTCAAGCGTTTAGGTGTGGAATTGGCGGGAAGTTATAGGGATGGCCTTTAGGGTCAACCGTTTTGCAGATTTTTTTTTCTTTGACTTCTCGGCGATACTCAACTCGTAAGAATCGTGGTTTTTCATCGTCGAAGTTTTCTAGGAGGAGAATTTTTAGATTTTGATGGTAATGGCTTCAGTGGAAAAAAAAACTTTTTTTTTCGGTTTTTTGCAAAATTTCTTCTGATTCAACCGAAATAGACGGAAAATGAATGAATTTGATGATTAAAAATCACAAAAAAAATAAACTCATCAGGGTATTAGTCCTACGCCATCTCTATCGTTAGAATTACAATTAAAATTAATAGAATTAAAATTTTATTTTATTTAGAACTTATTTACACTTAAAAAAATCCGTCAATTTCGTTTGGGTTTCTGTTTTTGTATTTTGAATGTTTTTCTCTAACTCATAAATTTTGTCGAATATTGCTTGATCAACAACCGCCGCGTATTAAAAGTACTGATGGACCGTCTCCAACGCATTTAAAGCTAGCTTCATTGGATGTGTGTATGTGTGTATTTTTTATGTATGTATGTATTTTTATTGTAGCTGTAGTTCCTCCTAAATAATATAAAGAAATAAAGCTCGAATGTCGCTTATAGAGGTATAGTTAAGCAGCAATCTCACTTACGGAGGTCCATGAGAGAAAAACGACTCTCTCTTACAGAGGTTTCTGTTTCTCGCTAATAGAGGTTTTGGGAGCTTAAAATGACGGATCCTGGCTATTACTCTCACTTATAGAGTTTTTTCACTTATCCAGTTCTCGCTTATCCAGGTCCGACTGTATCTGTACCTGAGATTATAAAAAAAGAAGATTTTTTAATTTTTTTTAACTTAACTTGATAATAATAAAAAAATAGGACTAATACCCTGATAAATTTATTTTTTCATTCGTTTTTTAGCTTAAATAAATATTTGTTGTTATAAAATTAAGTTGTGGAGTGATAATTTCTATTACCTTTGCAATTTTTTTCTTACTCTGACCTATAATTGATAAAAAACCGAAAAAACAGGATACGCCCTTATGGTTTTAGAAAAATTTTTTCCTAAAACCATAAGAGCGTATAACAAAAAAAAAATTTTTTTTTCGTTTTTTTACATAGATGTTAATGTTTCCAACATTTTTACATTGATTGGAGCAAAAAAAATTTTTTTATACGCCCTTATGGTTCTGCAGAACCATAAGGGCGTATATTTTGAGATATGTTCTTATGGTTTTAGTAACGCGACTTATATGTCACAAAAAGAATAGTACATAATGTGCTTATATTATGAATCAGCCAGACATCCAAGTTATTATCGGAGTTGTATAATTTATTAAATGCATCCATCATACGATAAGTAGGAGCAGAAGTGGCAAAGTTGGTGTTGGCTATTGAAAGAAGAAAGGGTGGACAACATCTTAGCACTGGCACCTTGAACATTACTAGACTAAGAAGCCGTGCACAATCGATTTTACCTTGAACTAAACTAGTTGACGTAGTCTGACCCAGAGTCAGGACAAGCTCCGTCAGTCCTCCACGAGAGAAATTTAAAATTATTGTTATTAGTGCAATAGATTAATTAAGAAATTTAATAGATTTGCAATAAGTATACTCATTTGTCACTTCAACATATTTTCCACTTATCCCGTCTTTTATTTAATATAAATTATTTATTTCTTCTTCAGTACGATTCCGGAAGCCCAGTAATTTGCAGGCGATTCACCAATCGCAAGTGGGTTTTAATTGGATTTATTTCCAAGTACGCTCGCTTCGTTTTAGATACCGAGAGAAATATTGATGATGACTATGACGACGAAGGACCGGAAGAAAAATTCGTTCCTATTTACACAACCATTATTCCAATCGGCCATGGGCTAACCTATGAAGTAATCGACAGAGTAATGAGAACTCAGTATCGAGTCACATGAACGTAAACGTTAACGCTTTATATATAAATATATATTTAATATTAATTTTTAATTTGTACCGATATGAATACTCACTTTGAAGTAATTAATCATTTATTTCTGGTGTAAATTGATAAAAACTGTTAAGATCTTAAATAAATGCCTCCAGACAAAGAAATATTTTTATTGCCTCATTCCTTAGTTATCTTAAATGGCCTCATTTACGATTGTCATCTTTAATTGATTTTTTATTTTTTTATTACGCGTAATTTTTTACTTTTATTGTTTTTAGTGATTTAAAGCTGTGTATTTAACTGTCGACAAAATGGCAGTTCGTCACCTATCAGAGGATGGAAGAAAATGGCGCTTAAAAGATTTGAATTTTAGCGCGGGGAAATTTGAATTGAAAAGCGCGCGGGATTTAAAATTAAGCGGGATCTTGCGGAGTTTTTTGAAAGTTATTGTTTGAGGTGGAGTAATAATAATAATAATTATTGTTATTGATAATCATGATCACGAGGGTGAGTAGAAGTGTCATAATGTTGGGAAACGAGTATATATAACCTATATTTTTTAAAGAATAATATTAAAGAAAATTTATAATTATGCAATTGTGATTGTTTATTTGTTAGTATTGTAAAGATAATTATTTTTAAAAATGTATCGACGAGTTGGTAAAAATTTTAGTGGACAATTTAATGTGAGTATTTTTTTTTTTTAATTATTATTTTGTAATAATAATAATACTTAGTTTTATACATTTGTTATTATTTTACTTATTTTGACAAAATTTAAGATTTAATAATAATAAATGTTAATAAGTCGTCATTATCATCATTGTTATTAATTTGACATTTTTAAAAAATGAGTACAATAATAATAATAATAAAACACTTATTTTTACATTTTTGTTATTATTATTTAATTTATTTAAACAAAATGTCAAGTTAGTAACAATTAATGTAACAAAGTTAAGATTATTATTATTATTATAAATTTGAAAAATTTGACTTGATAATTTTTATTATTATTGTTATTAATTTGTGATTTGAAAAATATTACATAAAAATAATAAAAACACTAATTTTGACATATTTAATATTATTAGCAACCTTGCAGTCACAATGTGACTGCCGTGACTTGTGAACTATAAATAAACAAAAATTTTGCTTTATTAAATAATTAATTTTGTTAAATTGCACTGTATTTTCTTAACTATTTAAATTTTTAAAGATATAAGCTCATCCCGGTGTTACACTCATCAAGAGCTTTCATTTAAGTACCCACATGTATTTTTGATATATTTTTCAAATATACATATATATAATATATATTTTAAAGATATAAGCTCATCCTGATGTTACACTCATCAAGAGCTTTCATTTGAGTACCCACATGCATTTTGATATATTTTTCATATATGTATATATATAATATATTTATACATATATATACATATATATAAATATAATATATATAAATATATAAAATATATGAAAAATTGATGTGGGTACTCAAATGAAATGTCTCAATGAGTGTAATGTTAGGGTGAGCTTATATCTTTAAAAATGTCAATAGTTCACAAGATACAAGATCATTTCTTAAGTATTGATATTTTTAAAGATGTAAGCTCATCTTGATGTTACACTCATCAAGAGCTTTCATTTGAGTACCCACATGCATTTTTGATATATTTTTCATATATACATATATATAATATATATAAATATATAAAATATATGAAAAATTGATGTGGGTACTCAAATGAAATGTCTCAATGAGTGTAATGTCAGGGTGAGCTTATATCTTTAAAAGTGTCGATAGTTCACAAGATACAAGGTCATTTCTTAATTATGTATCTATAGAGTTAGAACATTTTCGAATATAGTTTAAACACTCATCATAATAAATTGACTATCGTCGAGAATGATATGAAACCTTAAAAAGGCACAAATTCAAGTCAAGACCTTTGCAATAACACTAAATTTAACTAAAAAAAACCGATTTTATCATTTGATTATCCTGGACACAAAATTTGTCTTATTCTCTTAATAATATAGATAATTATAACACTTATTTTGAAACATTTATATAACATTAAATTTAGCAGTCACTCGATCATATTTTAATTTTTTTTAACAAACAATTTTTTTCCAAAAAAATTAATTTTTAAAAATAAAATTTTTTTTTAATTTCTACTTTTCAAATTTGCCATAATTTATTTGTTAAAAAAATTTTTTCAAATTATCAAAAATCTAATAAATTTGTTTTTATCAAATTTATTATTGTACTTATTTTTTAAAAAAGTCTAATTAATAGTGATAAATTTAAAAAATTCGACTTTATGATTATTATTATTATTATTATTATTACTTTTATTATTATCATTTTTATAAATGTGAAAAATTCTACATAATAATTTTTCATCATTATTGTTACTTAAAAAAATTCAATAATAATAACTATTATTATTATTATTATAATTAAAATTATTATTATCATTTTTTATAGGTAAAAAATTATTCAAAAACTGCAGAAGGAAGTTTTAAAGAAAAGTTAAAAGACGGTCCAAATTTTGAAGACTTTTTAAGTGAAAAAATTCCCAAATACGATGGAAAATTAAAACTAGACAAAAATGACAAGTCTAGACTTAGATTACCACCCTGGTTGAAGCGCGAAATTCCTATGGGTGAAAATTACGCGCAATTAAAAACGCAATTGAGAGATCTGAAGCTAGCGACTGTTTGCGAGGAGGCCAGGTGCCCGAATATTGGCGAGTGCTGGGGAGGAGGCGAGCATGGAACTTCTACGGCGACTATTATGGTAAGTAATTTTATTAATTACTTATTTCTTTTTTTTTTTTTCATTACATTATTGAAAAGGAGAAATTTAATGACTGATTTTAGCTGATGGGAGACACTTGCACCCGAGGTTGCAGATTTTGTTCAATAAAGACAGCTCGAGCGCCTCCACCGCTCAATCCTGAGGAGCCTGTTAACACCGCGATAGCCGTGGCTAAATGGGGGGTTGATTATATTGTATTAACTTCCGTTGATCGTGATGGTAAGTTGGTTTTTATTTTCAAGTTTGATAGTTTTTTATTATGAATCTTAAAATGAAGATTCTGGAAAAACTATTGAAAATATAGAAAAATCCCTCGCGGTTTTAAGAATGCCGTAAAAATACCGTAATTTTTCGGCATTTATGCTCATGCCGTATACTTACCGTAATAATGCGGTTAAACTATAGTTGTTTTGACCAGTTTTTATAGGCTGTAAATATCCAGTATATATACTGCACTTATGATGTACAGTTACCAAAAATATACTATACAATTACCGCATTAATGCCCAAATTTTACCCAAAAAATTCCAAATAATTACCGTAATAATACAGTAATTTTGCCGAATATTTTCTGACATAATGGAAAATTATTAAAAATTTGGTTTTATTTTTAGTTCACTTCTATGTTAGAAATGAATAAAATGAAAAATTTCCAATTTTGCTTTTTATTCTCCATCGCTATTTTGCAAAAACAAATACTGTTTTTGAATAAATACTATGTAGAATATTATTTTTTAATTAGGTATTTAGCGGTAATGAATATTAAAAAATACATATCGCGTTACTGATGCCATAAGGGCGTATCTCGAAAAAAATACCCTTGAAAAGCCATAAGGGCGTATAAAAATTTTTTTTCCGGGAATCGACGTAGTTATGCCTGAAACGGGCAGAAAAGCAAAAAATAATTTTGGTACGCCCTTATGGCACCCAGGGTACCTACCGGGAGCCATAAGGGCG